AAAGTGGGTGAAGGGAGATGTCGGACAGGACAAGATATGACAAAATAATAATTTATAAATCATCAAGGGTTCATGAGGGATGGGGGAGTGGGGAAGGAGGGGAAAAATGAGGACCTAATGCCAGGGGCTTAAGTGGAGAGCAAATGTTTTGAGACTGATGAGGGCAATGAATGCACAAATGTGCTTTACACGATTGATGTATGTATGGATTGTGATAAGAGCTGTATGAGCCCCTAATAAAATGATTTTTTTTTAAAAAAATACAAAACTGGGAATATTGGAAATTGTCAAAATGAAATGGAATGGCTGAGATTTTTCTATTTTCTTTTGTTATTGTTTTTCATTTGTTTGTTTTGCTCTTTATTTTTGTGTGTGTCTCTCTACATGAAATCCAAGATAGGTAAATCTATAGAGACAGTAACTGGATTAATGATTATAGCAGGAGAGGTGGTAACGGGAGGGATGAAGAGATAATAATAATAAAATCAAGGAAGAAAAATTCTAAAAAAAGAAGAATATTAGACTAGGAAGAAATGCAACAATGTTTAAGTCTACTTAACAGAGCTTGGCAGAAATACCACTGCTAAGTCTAAAGCATAAGTGCCCACTTAGGTAGCCCACCCCACCCCTTTTTCAAGAAAAGTCCACTGCTTCACCCTACCCCACCCTGAAATTAGTCCTCTAGCTCATCCTCCAGGTTCAAGCGTAGGTAACTGCTTTTGCAGCCCCCTGGGCTGTTCCAGGAGCACACACACACACACACCCCAGCAGGGCCCCTCAAGCGGGTTTCCTCTTCACTTCCTGGCCTCCTGCCCCACAGGCATGAACGGGCCTGCGAGCAGCTCACGAAGGAAAGCAGCCAGGCACTCCTCTGCGCGATCGGCAGTGACGTGGCCCACACGTGACACAGCGGTACTCCAAACCCAAACCCCTTCCTGGGAAGACACGGAGGCCTGATAAAGGCCTTAGAAAGGTGGCCAGTCAGCCGGGGAGGGCCACTTTCAAGACAGGCAGGTGTCAAAGAAGGGGGGCATGAAACGAGGTGGCTGACCGCAGTCAGAGGCATGATCATGTGCAGCCACCACTTCAGATCCCTCGAGTTTTTTTAATGGTGTGGATGGGGGGGGCGGAGGGG